TGATTATGAACAAATGTGCCATTTCTGCACAATCTTCCAGGTCAGCGTGCAGTGACGAATCCCCACGGGAGATTTCTTTTTTTCTTGGGAGTTGTTTCCTTGATTTTCTAAATTTGCGTACGGCAACTTAATTATGTCTGAACGCTAAACCCATGTTGTGTTTTACCACTCTGGTGACTCCATGCTGGCAGAATGCTTGCTCCTTCTCTGGTGAAGAAAGCCTTTTTATTTGTGGTTTCTGACTCTTAATTCTAAGCTACTCATAAAGCACCAAGATGAGTGATATCATGTGGTCTTCATCAACATGGGAGCCTTTTTGTTTGACTTCATAGCCATTTAAATAGTGAGATTAAAGACAATGACACACTTGGAAGGTTGGACAGCAAATGGAACCAACAATTTAAACAAGTCCACGTTTCTTTTCTTTTCTTTTTTTACATTTTCACAGAGCTTATGGATCGCCGGGTTTACTGGCTTTATTCTTGGTTCAATGCACATCTAGCAGCACTTTTAATATGTACATAATCTTTTCAATAAAATGTTAATTTTCCTCATTTAGCCCACAAAATCAAGGAGTCTTGGTGGCAGAGAATTTAATCAATACAAAGGTTGATGAGCGTTACCAGCAATACTAATAAAAATATAAAGAAGATTAGAGATTAGAGACAGCTAAACCTGGTTGCCTGACTGGAAGTGATTTTCATGCATCATTAGATTAAGTCATACTGAGCAGGAAATTAAAAGAACAACATTTTTTATTTTATTTCCAGTGAGCTCAGTAAAGAGGCTACAGTTGTGTTTAAGCATCTCAAAAGGAAATTCATTAATTTAAGTCTCTTTATAGATGTCTTCAGTGACAACAGCGGTGCCCCCACCAGCTGTGATGTGTGGCCACCCCTGCAAAAATGTTGGGCACCCCCAGTGGCTCATCCAGGGAAGATCACTCCCCTGAATAAATCTCATGCATGTTCACTCAAACCATAAATTTATCTTATTTAATCAGGACACAAATGTTTACAACCAATATACACTCTCCTAAAGGATTATTAGGAACACCTGTTCAACTTCTCCTTAATGCAATTATCTAATTAACCAATCACATGGCAGTTGCTTCAATGCATTTAGAGGTGTGGTCCTGGTCAAGACAATATCCTGAACTCCAAACTGAATGTCGGAATGGGAAAGAAAGTTGATTCAATTCAATTTAAGTTTATTTACATAGCGCCAAATCATGACAAGAGTCGTCTCAAGGCACTTCACACAGTAAACATTCCAATACAGGTCAGTTCATTAAGCCAATCAGTTAAAAGTTACTTATATAAGGAACTCAGCAAATTGCATCAAGTCACTGACTAGTGTCAATGTCTTTACAGCAATCTTCATACTAAGCAAGCATTTAGCAACAGTGGAGAGGAAAACTCCCTTTTAACAGGAAGAAACCTCCAGAGAATCTTGGCTCAGTATAAGCAGCCATCCTCCACTACTCACTGGGGATCGAGGAGACAGAGCAGACAAATGCACATGCACACCAACCCACTCACTCACACACACACACACACACACACACACGCACGCACGCACGCACGCACGCACACACACACAACATATCTATACCAAGTAATATTTCTTTGGCTACATTGTGATTTCTTAGTAAATATTCTATTTAGTGAAAGATAAACTTTACTGTATTTATTCTAGTGAATCTATAATTAATTCAACAGGTAAACTAGTAGTAGCACTTTCAATGTCAACAAGAGTAAAATGTTATTATCAGGAGAGGGAGAATGTTTATGTGGTTAGCAACAGTGTTCAAGCCGATGGCCTCTACCATGAGGCTACCACAGCTCAGCAGAACACCATCGTAGCTTCTTCTGGCAAGAAAAGCTCTTAGAGAAAAAATAAAATTAACAGCTGAAATAGCAATGCAGTTAAAGAGCAGATTGTAGAAGAAAGTAGTAGAGTGTGGAAAGTGTTCAGTATGTCCTCCAGCAGTCTAAGCCTATAGCAGCATGACTACAGAGATAACTCTGGACAACCTAGCCTTTTTAGATGGAGGCATGTTGAAGTCAGGGCAAGGGAGAGCCGTCTTTACCGACTGTACACTCCACCTCCCTCTACTTCCCCACTTGTCCAGATCTGGGCTAACATCAGATTTTAACCATAGGTCCTATCAAATAAAAATGTTAAAAGTCTTAAAAGTAGAAAAGGTGTCAGCCTCACGGACTAAAGCTGGGAGCTGGCTCCAAAAAAAAAGGAGCCTGATGGCTAAAAGATCTGCCTCCCATCCTATTTTTAGATATTCTGGGAACCACCAGTAGACCTGCAGTCTGAGAGCGAAGTGCTCGGTTAGGAACGTATGGAACAATCAGATCACTGATGTATGAAGGAGATTGATTATTAAGAGCTTTATATGTGAGAAGGAGGATCTTAAAATCTATTCTGAATTTAACAGGTAGCCAATGTAGGGAAACTAAGACAGGAGAGACACGATCTCTCTTTTTAATTCTCATCAGAACTCTAGCTGCAGCATTTTGGACAAGCTGAAGACTTTTAACTATTTTCTGTGGACTTCCCGATAGTAATGAATTACAATAGTCCAGTCTCGATGTGATAAATGCACTAGTTTTTCAGCATCACTCCTGGAAAGTATGCTACAATCTTGGCAATATTCCGAAGGTGGAAAAAGGAAATTCTACAAACCTGTTTAACTTGGGATTTGAATGACATGTCATGGTCAAAGATAACACCAAGGTTCCTTACTTTGTTCTCGGAGATTAATTAAATGCCGTTAAGCAATTTTGAGCGTTGCATGGTTGTTGGTGCCAGATGGGCCAGTCTGAGTATTTCACAATATGCTCAGTTACTGGGATTTTCACGCACAACCATTTCTAGGGTTTACAAAGAATGGTGTGATAAAGGAAAAAACATTCAGTATGCGGAAGTCCTGTGGGCGAAAATGCCTTGTTGATGCTAGAGGTCAGAGGAAAATGGGCCGACTAATTCAAGCTGATGGAAGAGCATCTTTGACTGAAAAAAACCACTAATTACAACCATGGAATGCAGCAAAACATTTGTGAAGCCACATCACGTACAACCTTGAGGCAGATGGGCTACAACAGCAGAAGACACCACCGGGTACCACTCGTCTCCACTACAAAGAGGAAAAAGAGGCTACAATTTGCATGAGGTCACCAAAATTGGACAGTTGAAGACTGGAAAAATGTTGCCTGGTCTGATGAGTCTCGATTTCTGTTGAGACATTCAAATGGTAGAGTCAGAACTTGGCATAAACAGAATCAGAACATGGCTCCTTGTTACCACTTTGCAGGCTGGTGGTATAATGGTGTGGGGGATGTTTTCTTAGCACACTTTAGGCCACTTTAGTTGTCCTCAGTTGAACCACTGGTGTGCGGGGTGCCGCAGGGATCAGCGCCAGGTCCCCTGTTGTTCTCCATTTATATACTTCCCATGGGATTGCTCATGGTATGAAATGGGACTTCATCTATACACAGAGAATTGTCAGTTATATCTGCCAATTCAACAGAGGGCAGGAGGTAAAATTCAGACTCTAAAGGATTGTGTTGCAGAGACCCAATGGTGATTGTGTTTACTCCCAGTGACCGTCAGCACCATGGTTGATTGTTCACCCCTAGCTCAGTTTGAAAGGACAGTGGTCACAGATCTGGGGGTAAAACTGGATGCTACACTAAAGATGAACGTTCAAATAAATGCAGTTGCCAGGTCTTGTTTCTTTCAACGTTGGCGCCTGTCTCTGATTAGGCCGTTACTTTCCATGAAGGATCTGATGACTGTCATGAAAGCTTTTGTTTTGTCGTGAGTTGACTATTGTAATGCCCTGTATGCTGAGCTGGGTCAGTCCACGCTGTCACGGCTAAATTAGTGCAGAACGGTGCTGCCTGGTTCATCTGTGGCATCAAAAAATGGAATCCGATAACCCTGGTGCTGGCATCTTTGAGATGGTTCCCTGTCCAATCCAAGATCTTTGTCCTTGTTTTTATGTCTCTGTTAGGTACAGTACCTTGTTACATTTCATCGCTGGTGTCTAAACACACTCCAGCCAGAAACCTTCAGTCATCTGAACATGACTTATTGGCTGTTCCAAGAACGAGAAGAAAACCCCGCGGGGACTGGGTATTTCCTGTTTGCACCTAAACCCTAGAACCAAATTCCACCTGACATTAGGCAGTCTACTTCGGTGCAGAGTTTTAAATCTAAATTGGCTCTGCATTTTCGCACTCTGTCATCATGATTGGGTCACTGTTTTTAGGTTTGGATGTAACATAAGGTCCTTTTGTGTAGTTATTTCACGATTTTATGGTTTCATCTGTTTTATTCTTGTTTTAATATGTTTTTATCTTTTTGGCTTGAGTGTACAGCACGTTGGGCCACCTTGACTGGTGGTTAAAAGGTGATTTACAAATAAATAAATAACGAATGATTATTTTAATACTATTTTTAAAAATAGTTTATTTAATGATCACATTTTAAATATTTGTCACTGAGGCTCACTATGTTTGTGGACATTGTTGTTGAGACAGCAACAGACAAACTGAACTGTTTTTAAAATTCTGAAACAACAAAATTTGTCATAACTGAAAAGAAAACTGTTTTAAATTTTGTCTCTTTTTCTGAAATCTTTGTTACTCAAATTTGAGGTAGATGTGTTTTGTATGGAGTCATTACAATTTCCCCACAGGAAGGCACATAAGGCACAGAAAAACTTAAGGTTGATTCATGATCATGCAGGTTATTGTGGCAAATTATATTCTACAGATTTGTGTTATCTTTGTTGTTGTTTATCATACTGCAGATCAACCATTTAGAATATATCTCAGTCCCTTAAAGTTGTGGGCCACTCATTTATTATGGTCTTGAGCCCTTTTTAGAAGACACGCCATGCAGAAAATCCGTGTAATACCGCCACCATAGTGTGTCTAATGAACTCGCTGTGGCGGCATGGCGTTGCAGGAATTTTGTGGTATTTGCTGCCTGGCTTGGTAGTAATATTACCGCAACGTCTAACTTGTGAATGCATATTACACCTTGGCGCAACAGAGGGAGGTGTCATGATCACTTGGAGAGTTACTGCCGAGCTCTGGTAGTAAACTATTAAAAAAGAAAGTAAACGCGAGCTGCAAGTTTTGCTTTAGCAAACAGAGTCAGTCGAGATGATAAACTAGAGAGATGCCGTGCTCCAGGAGCATTTCTCCATTAGACCTGGAGCTCAGATCACCAGAGACTGCACCGGGACTGTGGAGGACAGACACCTTTAGGAGCGGCTTGTTGAAAAAACTCGACGAGTGCGGTTTTGATTGCAATAAAAAGCAAATTATGTTCGAGATAATTGGAAGTCTCTGCCAGCGCAGAGACTGTCCCCATTCCCCCTTTATACTGCCATGGCGTAATCTTTTGTAAAATGGACACGATTGTGACATTAGTAGGAATGAAGGCCTTGCAAGTCGGGGTTGGTGGTATATTTTAACTAGTGTGTGTGTGTGTGTGTGTGTGTGTACATGATTATAATTTAAAGTAAGGTAGTAGAATGTTTACCTTTTGTTCATATTCTTACCTTGATATTTTCGATTATTGCCAAGTTTGTTTGTTTTTTTACATGATATTATGACCCAAACGAATAAAAAATGCTATTTATGTTTCGTGCAGTTTTTTATGTTGGAGTTAAAGGGACGATTTTCTTTCTCTGGACTGCTTATTTTATGTTAAACCAGTAAAAAGCTGAATTCCTCATTAAATAAGATCATTTTTAAAGCCTAAAGACGTGAAAATCAACTCTAAGCTTTGTTTGGATGGCTGATGGACACAGAACTGAAAGCAGCCGCTTGGTTTCTTTCTTCTGCCTGCAGAGAAAACCCAAAGTGTGTCTTCTCTGATCAATGCACGTGAAAAAGTTTTCCTCTGCGCGGAACAACTCCGCTTCATCACCTTCCTCATCGCCTGCGTCGCTCCTCGGGTGAATCAAGCTCCTCTGCTTCTCGGAGGGCGCAGGCTAAGTTTTCCTGGCGTCCTATCTTGAAGGATCTCCGTACTGCTCTAACTAGGCACTTGACCTCCCTCGGCGCGCTCCTACGAGTCCCCGAGTGACGCAAAAAAGTGGGCTGGCGAAGCGCTAAGAGCAGTAGTTTAGGGCTATCGGTGCACACCGAAACATCACTACTTAAGCTGGCTTGATTTAGAAAGCCCACAGGTAGAGCTGTCTCTCTCTCTCTTTCAGAGTCGGATGTGATATCAGTTTTGGCGCAGACAGCGGCATGTGTGCGGATGTATCTCACAGCAAGTCTTCTCCCAACCTGTAGCAAACTCCGGTCTGGAAGTTGTGCGCTTGATGAAACTTTTTTCTTCCTCTTTTCTGAATGAGCGTCTCACCGCTGGCTGCCACATCTGGACTCAGGCTGCCGGAGCTGTCAGGTCCACTTTTCCCCGGAACTTAAACTGACCCAAATACACTTTTTTTTATTCCTTTTTAATTCTTTTTTCTTTCTTTTTTTTTTTTTTTTTTTTTTTTTGTTCTTCATAATCTCTAAACTTGGGGTCGCCGCATTGGAATTAGTTTCAATGAACACCTCCTCCGTAAAAATTTAAAATCTCTATTTATTTATTAATATTTTTAAATACGACACGCAAGAATGGAACGCTTAGTCCTGAGACTGACACATGTCTTGGTTGTTTTCGGTCTTTTGGATAAAAGGTGAGTGAAATGTTTTTTTTTAACTCGGCTGATATTATTTTGATGCATTTTCTGCTTAAAAATATTAATTTTAACTGGAGGATTAACAGCTATTACAAACTTTCTCAGTCAGTTCACTTCAACACACTGAATTTAAGATATAAAGTTAAATACTTACCACAATAAAACATACTGATTTCAATAGTCACTTACTTCCCACATGCATTAGAGAATAAACTCTTTGCAAACTTTTACCAACAGTCAGAGACCAACAGGTTGCAACTGTTACTGGGAGAGCCACGGTGCAAATTTTTTTAAAATATTTCATCAAAATGCAAATGAAGTGCATTTAACATTATTAAAAGCTGCATTTATTGTTTTTAATGCAATTGTGACCTTTCTTGAATCGTTTGCACATGTACGTGCAAAGTTTAGTTTGAACAAACGTGCATGCAGGAAAAGTGTGTGTGTTTGCCAAGAACCGTGCATGTTTCTGATTGCGTTTGACTGAAAAATACAGAAGATGCACAACCTGTGATTTAAAAACAAAGAAAAGAGGAGCGGGACACCTTCATGTTCTCAAACTATCATCAGAGAGTCATTTTCCTGCTGAATGTTGATTTGCAAAAGATCACTGGAATCAGAGCAGACTACTACTTTATAGATGTTAAGACGATATTTCATGAAGTATGCGACAAGTACTTTTTCCTTTTCGGTTAAAAGTGAAGTTTTATTGCAGAATATTCACTAAATAGCAATAATTTGCACAGATGGGCTTAAATTGTCTTGGGTTTTTAAGAAATAAAGAACACGGTCTTGCATTCTAAAAAAGTTATTGGAAATGTTTGTTTTCCATTTTACAACAACAAACAAAAAAAACAATTAAACATCACTCATATAAATTAATAAAATAAAAGCAGGCTTGAAAGTGCACACTCCTCTTAAACCGCTCACATCTGGAGATAGTTTTTCTAACTGTGAACCCACAGTTTGTGGGTATTTTTAGGTTTTACTGGAATCAACCACCGTGGAGACCATCAACTCGGGACATCTTTGTGTTACAGTGGGAACTGAACATTAGGGGGTCACACCCGGGGAGCATCAGCAGAAACCACAGCAGAACTTAAGTGTCGGGGTTGTCCTGATGTTGTCCTGACCTTTGTGCTCCATGCAGGGTGGATTCCAATGAAATCCTGGGCCTGAAGCTCCCCAACATTGAACCCATCCTGAACGCCAACACAGTGTGTTTAACACTGCCGGGGTTGACGCGGCGCCAGCTGGAAGTGTGCATGCGTAACCCAGATGTGACGGCGTCAGCAATCCAGGGAATTCAGATTGCCATCCACGAGTGCCAGTATCAGTTCAGGGGGCATCGCTGGAACTGCTCCAGCCTTGAGACGAGAAACAAAATTCCCTACGACAGCATAGTGTTTAAAAGAGGTGAGTTTTACTGTCACTGTTCGCTTCTCCTTTGTGGAAATGTGCATCACAATGTATTTAGCAAAATCAAGAAAAAAAGGCTAAATGAGGTTGTTTTAAGCTTAAGATTCAAAATCTCAGCTCATCACAATTTACAAGGAAAAAAGTTTAGTCTTCAAACAAACTGTGGTTTCCTGCTCTAACACACCTCAATAAAGCGCCTTGAAATCATAGGTTTAGAGAGATTAGCTGGTACAGAGGCACTAAAGGGTCCAAACATCAGATCATATTTGGATTATTTCCCACCTCTCAACAAGGCTATCCCACAAGATGTTCACCACACGGTTGTCTCTAGTCACCAGCCGACCGGTATTGTCTTTGTGGCCACCTAACCGTTGCTTCTCAATAACTGGTGTACAAAAGAGCAGATACGTTCAAAAGAAGCTAGTCACCTTCAGATTACCAAACCTCATGGAGATCGGTTTTCTGGTGCTTTGTTGTGCTTGAAGCTTTGCAAGTTAGCCACAAAGGATGAAAGCGGATCTAATGGGTTGAGAAGCCTTCAGATGGACTCATCCCAGGTCGGTGACTGGAAAGAGGCATCAATTTCTCAGTAGCAAGAACACCTGGACAGGTCGAAGAACCTGCAACATGGTCGGGAGTTGGCTTTGAAGTTTTGTGGTGGTAAAAGTGCTTAAAGCAGGAACGGTATGACATAGTTGTGTTTATTTATTGAGTTATAGTGTCGAGTAGGAAAAGCTGTTTAGTACAGCGGTTGAGGTAAGTCTCATTTGACTAAAGAAAAACGTTTATGTTGCAGAATTTGCTGACACACCTCTGGTCGTGCTCTTGCTCGTTACGTGCTCATTGAAAGGCTGTTTGTCATTATTAGCAGAGGCAGTTGCTGGTTGTCTGGCATCCCCGGTTTGCCTCGGGTGCAGAAACTCCAAACCACTGACATAAACGATCTCTTTAAATCAGATGATTCATCTGTTGCATGTCGATGCGATACTCTTCACAGAAGCTTCAAAAATGGATACAAATGATCATGCTGCAGCCATTAACTTCAACGGCTACTGTAGAGAGGCAGGGCTGCGTGGAATCTGAGATGCTGTTCACACTCGGAGGTATAGAACAAACGTTTTCAGGCAAGATGCGGGGTTACCAATGACTAAAAGGGTTAGATGTCTAATACTACTGCATTAGCTGTGGCTTGGGTTCTCATCTTCCATAGATCTCACTGCCGATGATCTCTGTTGTCTTTTTTTTTTCGTTCTTGTTCAGCATTAAAAACTAGGCTAAAGAGAAACCCCAGCAGGACGTGGATATACAGAAATAGGAGAATCGGTCCATCTCCTTCTGTCATTTCTACCTCTCCCAATCTGTCACTGGGCTGCTCCTCATGCTTTTACTTCCCTTGCCAATGCCAGTACTTGTGAATTTGCTCTCAGCACTTTCCCAACTCTCAGCGGCAAAAGCATAAACCTGTTTAGTCGGTTTCTGTAACACAAAGTGACAGTTTCCTTTGAATCTTTAATTCATTTTGCCACTTCCTCTGCCATCAGTTCAGCCGGGCGTGCCGCACCCGGTGAATTATTTGTTAGATTGATTTGTTTCTAGTCTTCTAGGGACCTGTGTCGAGGAGCCCAGAGCAGAGCAAGCCAAGAGCTAAAACAGGCTTTCAATTTAGGAGGGTGCGCCATCTTTCCTGTCCCACCTTACAGCAGGTCAAGGTGGTAGAGGGGGAGGACGCAGGTGTTAGGTGATGTAGCCACTGGTCCGTATATACGGGCATTAGAGGGTTTTTCTGTCATGTGGCTAAAACATGACTCCAGATGTATTTAGCTCCTTCTAACCACTTTGCTCACTTTGTCACTTTTAAAGGTGACAACATGCTGATGCTGTGTATTTGACATGTCGGCTCTTGTTGACTCTTGTAATGATGCCTTTCAACGTGCTAGCAGTCGGAAGATCAACAAACATCTTTCAAAAGGCTCCAGTGTTTTTTGTGGCTGTGAACCAAACGTTAAACAAACTTTGGAAGTGAGAAAATGTTTATTGAATACATGTATAATTGATATCTATTTCAGAATAGTCTTTACTATAGAACCTAGATCAATGCTGTTTTGGTTTTTTAACAATTTCTGATTTAAAAAATGAGATTTATTAATTTTTATGTAAAAGGGAGAAAATCAGTCAGCTATTAAAAAAAAGGAAATGTGTTGGCAGGGATCCAGCACCCTCACACATTCTCGTCTGGATTATTAATGACCAAATTTTTTTTCGTTAAATGTTCAGCTAAAATTTTTTGCTGCTTTTTTGATACGTTTTGTTGCTCCTGGGTAAAAATGTTCAGTTCTCATTTAAAAGAAAACAACTTCATTTGAAAAAGCACACATTTAAAGAAATTTACAGACGTCACAAAAATATATCACTTCAATAACTTAAGTCTGAGAGAATAAGATTTCTGGTATTTTCAATGATTTAAGCAGGAATCTAAAGTATTTTGTTAGAGGACACCATCTAGTGGTGGAAAATGTACTGCACTTGGTCACAAGAAATGTCGCCAACTCGGCATCAGTCTAGGTACTTATGCAAACACGCATGAATGCTCTGATTGACAGCTGCACATAAGCGGACATTTAAAGCCTACTTCACACGGGAGGCATCAGCGGCGCAGAACGGCGGCGGAACATTGTTGCTTCAAATAGAATACATAACAGTCTACGGGGTCGACCAAACCGGCCGTGGCGCGTTAATTTTTTGATGCAACCCAGAAGCAGCACGCTGCGCCACTTAAGATAAGATCCGGTTCTATTGTTGCCCGCAAGTCACTTCTGGAACACGTCAATTTTCGCAGTTAACAATAGGACTAGACTGGAAATTCAAGTTTCAATTCAATTCAAGTTTATTTATATAGCGCCAAATAACGACAAGAGTCGTCTCAAGGCACTTCACCTAATAAACATTCCAATTCACAGTTCATTAAGCCAATCAGAAATAATGTTTCCTATGTAAGGAACCCAGCAAATTGCATCAAGTCACTGACTAGTGTCAGTGACTATACAGCAATCCTCATACTGAGCAAGCATGCAGCGACAGTGGAGAGGAAAACTCCCTTTTAACAGGAAGAAACCTCCAGAGAATCCTGGCTCAGTATAAGCAGCCATCCACCACGACTCGCTGGGGATCGAGAAGACAAAGCAGACACACACACACACGCGCACACACACACACACACACACACACACAATAATGTGTCTATAGTTCTATTGTGATGTCTTGGTAAATATTCTATTTGGTGAGATCAACTTTATTGTATTTATCCTAGTGGATCTCTAATTAAATGGGTAAACTAGCAGTAACACGTCCAATGTCAAGGAAAGCAAAAAGTAAAAAGTAATTATCAGGAGATGGTTAGCAGCATTGTGCTAGACGATAGCCCCCTCCACGAGGCCACCACAGCTCAGCAGAACATCATTGTAGCTTCTTCTGGGGAGAAAAACACTTAGAGAAAAAATAAAGTTATTAGCTGAAGTAGCAGAAAATAATACAGTTAAAGAGCAGATTGTAGAAGAAAGCAGTAGAGGGTTGAAAGTGGAAATCCCACACTGTTTCAGTGTAAAACATCGGGTATTTTTCAAAATAAAAAAACAATTGCAGTTACGCTAATTGATATCTATGTAGATTACGTCAATACAAGTGACCTAACTGATTATTTACTCTCAGCAACGTTCGAGAAGTGCAACAGTGTGCTTTTTATGGCTTTCGTCCTGGCACAGGAGAGGAACATGACATATGACATCAAATATCAAATGTCATTTATTTTTTCTTCTTTTTGGTTTGTTGGTAAATGACATAAACAAACCATGACTTTTGAAGTCTCAAGGAATGTTGTGATCTTGTGAGTCCAGTGAGGAGGATGGCAAAGAGGCAGAGAAACCCCTGAGCAGCTGAAACTCACCCGTCGTGAGGGGTAACACTGTTGGCTAATGCTGAATGGCACTCAATTCAAATAGCACAGGGCTGTATGGGACGAGGGACAGGCTTAGCAAAAGTATATATCACAGTTCAGGGTAAGACTTTCACTTTTACAGATATCTGATGCATCATACATAATTCCTGAAAGAGGGAAAACTCTAGATTACTGGAAACTTGAGCTGGAAGGTGTTAAAACAAAACAAAGTCTTACAATCTGCGAGTTTTCCCTAAGATGCAGATTCTGTTTTCCATCCATTTATGAAACTCGTCATTACTCTGATTGAGCATCAGAGCTGTTGAATGTTTGGTGTGAGACCCTTTAAAGTTCAGTGTTAGCAACTGGAGTAGACATGACAGAATACCTCTCAAAACAAGTCCTGTTACATGTTTTTACATTTGCATGAAGAAGGAAGCAACCTCAAACGGTGCTAAAAAGGGCAGATCCAGTTATTAGCTTTTTATTTGACTCCAACAAGCAGCCTGAATCATTTCCCTCTTGGAGCACTCCTATAAACCCCTGAGTGGTTTCTTTTGATGTTTTCTTTACAAGTTTCCATTCTACTCCTTGCTGTTTTCTTAACCAGTACGTGTCTGCCAGTGGTTCTGCCATTGCAGAACCCGGGGGCACCTTCACAGTAAGCTGAGAGCTAAAAAACACCACAGAGGCTATGAGTTCAGGTGACTCTGTCACACTTGAGTATTCACCAAGTCCACTACTGGACATGGATTTTTTTACATCAAAAATATATAACATATAGGAGCGATTATATATGTGTTTGTGTGTGTTAGAGGAGTGTTGTGAAAATTGCTCTTATGAATTTAGAGAGGAGTTTAATCTAGGAAAAAAGAAGCAGAATTTCAAAAATCAGTTATTTTATATTTACAAAGCTGCTGAGTAAGCCATCTGAATCAACTGAACTTGCGGTTTTTGCAGATTATTTACCTTTCAGTATTCCTTTGAGTAAAGAGTATTCACGCAAATGTTTTACTTTAAACAAAAATAACATTTAAAGAAAAAAATATTTTTAGTTGACTTATGTGCAATTGTATCTTGCATTATATATATTATAGTAATTTATATTTGGAATAAATCTTTAAACAAAAAAATAAAAAAAAAATACATTTTTCATGCATAAAAAAAATGTAAGAAGCAATGATGTAAAAATTCACCAAGCACAAAAAGGAATTCTCCTTTGTGGAAATCTCTTCATCTTAACTCATTCACTGCCATTGATGACTAAAGTCGTCATTTGCATGTTTTTACTGTGTGGGCGTCTGAACGAGCCCCCGCACCATGAGATCAAACATCTCAGCTCCGAAGCCGATCTTCATCCGCATACGTCACACGTCACATGATCAGGAAGCAGAACATCCATGTGTTAGGAGATCGTTTTGGGCCGCTGCTGTAAAAAAAAGTGAGGCGTGAACCGGAAAAGTGTCTGCCGATCACAATTATAACAACGGATTATGAAAGAACGGATAACGCTCGAAACGCGCGGATTATTCCTGACGTAAGAGGTGAGTCTCCGCTTTGTTTTGGTTGTTTTGGCGTCGACATCATGCTAGCGCGCAACGTTCTGTCACTCTTACAAAAACAGTAAAAACGGTGAGAAACGCTGGCAGCGAATGAGTTAAGGTGAAATGCTTTGTGTGAAGATGGAATATTATCCAAAAATTATTTAATTTTCACCTAAAAAATTGTTGCAGGTGAGATTCACAAGAAACACATGAACCTCATTAGTTTTAAAATATACAAGTTGTGCTTCAATCCATATTTCATGCATTTGCTGCGGAAAGAAAAAAGACGGGGAAACGCTCAGATCAGCAAAAGTCGTGAGATCTACGAGAAATGGACTTGCCCATCTTGGCTCATGACCACGGAAGGCTGAGTTTGCCAGGGGAGAGCAGAGCATGTCTTGGCTAGTAAAAGCTAACCGTTAGCATTAGCAACTCCACAACATTGCAGAACTCGCTCAGGCTTGTGTTATTTGTGGAGATAAAACATCAATGTTGCAATTTTTTACCCAATAGAAAAGAACAAACTGAGGCAGCGGAAGAGTTGCATTGCTTTGTCCAATCAGAGGCGATACATTTGCATTTCATTCATTTTAATGAGTACGACTTAAATTCCTGCCGTTTTTCGCGTTTTACTCATTCAGCTAACGTCTACCTCCTGAAACAGGAGTGCGAGAGCTTTTACCTACGGACTTCACTACTAGAGACCACAGAAAACATATAAAACAGGATCACTAGAACTACACATTCAACATGGTGTCAATACCTTTTGTTCTAGTTTACAAAACAGATGGCTACTTTAAAGCATATTAACACTTTTTTGCATTTGCAGGTTTTAGAGAGAGTGCCTTTGCGTACGCCATTGCAGCAGCTGGTGTGGTGCACGCAGTGGCCAATGCCTGCTCCATGGGCAAGCTGAAAGCATGCGGTTGTGACGAGAAGCGGCGCGGGGATGAGGAGGCCTTTCGCATCAAGCTTAACCGCTTGCAGCTGGAGGCGATCCACAGAGGGAAGGGAATGGTCCATGGTGTGATGGAACACTTCCCTGCCGACATGCCGGGACTGTCCCAGGACTCCTGGGAGTGGGGTGGCTGCAGCCCCGATGTGGAATTTGGAGAAAAGTTCTCACGGGACTTCCTGGATGCTCGCGAAACCTACAGAGACATCCATGCTCGAATGAGGTTACATAATAATAAAGTTGGGAGGCAGGTGAGTGTTTCTGTCCATCCTTGTGGTACAATTTGATTTAATTCTCTTTAGGCACAACAAGATCAATATTTAACAAACAAATTCATGAATCTTGTTTTCATTTGAACTTTTTTAATTAATTTCTTCTCCAGAATCTGCAGCATTTTATTTGTGAGTGGAAAAAGAGATAGAAAAAAAAAAGAAATGTTGAGACCATTTTTAACCCATATCAGGATTCATAAAACTGATTATTATTGGTCTTACATTTTTTTAATTCTATTTTTGTATGAATAATTCATTATTAGTGTTGATTTTGGCCCACACAAATGTTTGGTTCCTCGTTGACAGAACAAGTTAGAACATATGTCACTGCTCTCCTCAAACGGATAGATCCAGCATGAAGCAACGACGCAGCCAGCTGTTGTTGCTTTCTGATGACTAGCTCCACATTTGTGTTTTGTCTGCAAAATCAAGGAAGTCAGCAGTAAACCGATGAAAAGATAAAGGACCAAATTACTCAGGAGGAAGCAGGGAACAATGAGCAATTTACGGTTGCTTTTTGTCTCGATGCCACTACTGGTCGTTGCAGGCTAAATCTGCTACACTCAGCAAAACGATCTCAATATAGCTAATTTATTTTTGAAACATATGGAAAATACCTTTTGTTAAACAAACAAACATGTTAGGTTAAGTAGACACAACACTGATGAACCTCACTAAGCAAAAGTCATCAGCTGTCTTTGGTTCGCGCTTGAATTAGCACTTGCTCAGCTCTGTGACTACCACCCATATTTGCCCAGAGGTGCAACAACGTTGGACCTACTTCGCGCTCCTAATCCGTCGTGGTCATTTCAGTCGTCACTGAAGTAGGAAGAACAGATCTAAGGCCCGGTTTGAAAGGGACGAGAGCCGAGTTGTGAATTAGGGAGTTGGTCAAACACTGCTGTCCTCAGGATTCCAGAATCATTTGGGTGGACATTTATGACTTAATTGCCCTATTTGGAGGAAAGGCAATTGCGGTTTGAAGAGAACATTGCTGAAAATGTAGTGGCACCTTACTGTGTTGGGACTGCTAGTCATTACAACCAACAGCACTGTGTGAGGAAAGCTTCTCAGGGAATGATCAAAGGTGTCAAGTAATGAAGTACAAATACTTAGTTACCTTACTTAAAGCTACTATAGCAAATCTACAAAACGAGCTAGTTTTTGAATGCCAACACAATCACGGAACACACACCTCAACACAGTTATCTTCCCTGGTTCTGGGTCCATCGGAAACCAGCTTTGCCAGAGGAAAGGAGATGGTGCTAAACACCATTCACCATTTCTAGGTCCTAACTAAGTCATTTGTTAGTAACTTCAAATGGTGTTTTTCTTTTTGGGACACTGATAGTTGTCCAAAAGTTCTTTCTCTTTCTCTGATATTATTGAGCCACAAACCGCTCACACCAGTGGTGTTCTGTTGCTCAATGTGCAAGCGCGTAATGAAGGAACCAGGTACAGGCAGAAGTGTGGCGGTTTGGGCGAGACAGACAACTGGATGGTCCAATTGTTGGCTTCAGACCAAGCCACGTTATTGGCTAAGGTTTTTAGACAAATGCGACAGAATCACTTCACTATTTATTTTTCTCATTACTTTTTTTCAATTTCCCAAAAATATTTACAGCTATATTACGCTAAAAAATGTGTTAAAAGGCATGAAAAAAACGATTAAGCTAACTTTTTTGCAGATTTGCCATTTTAACTTTAACTTCATTTCTAATCGACCATACTGGGAATACGTACAGATTACAGCAGAAACCTTGAGTCAGTTGCAGAAAAAGGATTAGGCTTCACAACCGTTTAGGCTTAAATGACTTAGAACTCTGGACCCTCACTTTCCGACACACAACTGATGGCCTCTGATGACCTTGGAGAGGTTTTGCAACTGATTGATATTTTAGCTCTGATAACTGAGAATACCTTCAAACATTTAGTACAGAGTCCTTGTTATCTTGTTAAACTAAGAAACTGAGCTTATTTGGTGAAAAATGAGCTTGATTAGTTGAGGAATTTGCATAATACCATGACTGATAATAGCAGCTGACCACAAACTGGAGATCGTTACTTCAGTGAGTGTAATTTAAGAAAAGTGAGGGAGTCGAGAAACCAAGAGAGGGAGTGGATGATGGTCAAGGAAGGAGAGAAAAAGAACAAGTGAGTCACTACAGAGCTGTTACTGTAAAATAGCACACAACTGATGGCTTCAAGTGCAAAGCACTATGAAGCCCCATTAAGACATGGCTCACATGTATCAAACAGAAAACACAGACAGGTGGGGCCTCAAAATAACGCCTACCTTTTCCTCGTGTCTATCCTCCCACCAACCCACCAGGAACAACACCTCACTTCCCTCCACCCTACTCCTGCCCCTGTCCCGCTCGTCCCCTTTCGGAGACGTAGGCTTTGCAGAGGAATGCGGTGGGTTTTTTCGCGGGGTGTGCATGTTGCCTCATGCCCACCCTAGGGTTCTCACGACGTCCCGTCTTGTTTTTAGCCCTAATTAGTGACTGCTGGCAGTTTGGAAACAGATGTTTAAAACCCTGCAAAGGATTTTAGACTTCAAACAGCGGGGCGGAAAGTAGAAAGAGATTCGCCCTTCCTTCCCTCCCCCCTTTCCCCTCTCCTGCTCCTCTAACTTCTTTCAAGCAGACGTCTAAAAACAAAAAAAGGAACAATTCAGCCTACGTCATCATATATGATAACATTATATTTGAGTGAACTATAAGCTTGAACCAAAATGATAAAGATTTTATAAAAAATGTTGTGCTTTGTAGTATCAGGAAAGCGACTAAACTAAAATCGTTCCAGATATTTTCCTGTTACGTACCTTTCTGCAAAGAGACCCCTTCCAGTCATCCTTTGTTGTTAAATTTCATGAAGCCACACACAACAAGCAGTTTTAAAACCATTAAAACAGCAGCTGGCAATAAATTTCTTGATTACCAAACCCCCTATTCTTATCATTTATAAAGCACCCTTGAACAAATGCTTGGCAGACTTCTTTGTGTTCATGTTGCTGAGCTAGGAGCCATGTCGAGGTTCTGTTGAATCCTGTCTGTTCATTAGGCAGGTGGTGACAGTGCTGGCTACACGGGAGTCTGCTGTGTTACTGGCAAGCATCTTTTGGTATTTACAATTCACCACCAGGGCCTGACTTCAGGGGAGTAGAGAGAGATTGATTGCAGCTTTTCAAGAAGACGGTTATCCATTTCCACCCCCTTTAGCCCCATTTTTTAAATATAGATGCATTTTGCAAGAAGTGCATTTAGAAATAACTATACATTTGATGCAATTTAAATCTTTTTTCTCTAAATCTGTGGATTTATTATGAACTTCATAAATGCGTGCACTCTGGTGCAGGAAGGTGTCACACGGTCTCGTTTACTCTTTTATTTCCAATAAACTTGCTGCTGTCTCAAAATGATTGTATTACTTGTAAATAGTTTTCTGTGGAAAAATGTGTTTGCGCACCTCTTTCATGGAGTAGAAGTTTGTCAGGAATAGGGCGCGGAAAGCAAGAGTCATGAGTCTTACTCATAAATATTAATACTATCTCCTCACGTCTCCTCTGATTGGCCAACAGCAATGCAACTCTTACACTACCTTCGTTCACTCTTGGGTAAAAAGATAGATAATTTGTCAACTCAATAAATGACATAAGCCCAGTTATATTCTGCCTTATTGTAGAGCTGCTTATGGTACGCTTCTACTAGCAGAGACACGGTTGCAGGCTGAGGTGGGCGGGGCCATGAACAAAAATTTGCCCTGTGATGTAGTGGAGAACGGTCATTTCTGAAATGATCCTTTTCTTGTCTATTTTATTATTATTATTATATATTTTTTTTGCAGCTAATGCAGGTGATGGGGTTTGAAATTTTTCACGTTCAGTATGCATGTACAACTCTTAGGGTTAGGGTGACATTCGATTTAGGGAAATAGTTTAAAATACAGAAGATTTAGTAATGAACAAAAAATGAGAGATAGCTCTTTAAAAGTGTCCTAGAAAGGTTTCTTTTTTTTTAACAATTGCAGTGTGGGAGTATGGACACTGTTGTACATTCTTTGTTTTCCTTTTTCGTCAAACACGGGTGTTGGCAGTTCAGCCTAGCTTAAGCAGCAGCTCGGGCTAGCATTGTAGTTAGCATTACAGTAGCAAAATAAAATAAACATTGCCAACGTTGAACTGGGTTAGGACATGCAAATCTAAGGAGATGTCTTGCTTATGATGTTAAACCAGCTTTTCTCAAAACAAGGTGTTTCTCTGTGGCCATAGCATTACTAATTTACATAGAAAACCAGGTCAAAAAGGACTCTTGCTAGGCTACATTAACCGCGAGCCACGCTTTGTGTTTCGGCTGTCACAAAGGAAGGCTTTATGTTGTGTTGTGAGAAGTCTAGAGAGGTGGCACACTGTACAGTTTACTATTTCAGTGAGCCAAAGTGCCTGATGTCTCACTCTAGCAGTCACGAGAATACTTGCCAAAAGGTATACGTCACTAAAGGCCAACAGACACCCAAGACAGCAACAATATGGTAAATGGCCTGTTTTTGCATAGCACCTTCTTAGGGTTCAACATCCCCTCAAGGCACTTTACAACACAATCTGTCATCCAGCCCATCCATGGGCTGCAGGGTGGCGCAGTGGTTAGCACTGTTGCCTCGCAACACCAAGGTCGCAGGTTTGAAACTCGGCCGCGGCCTTTCTGCGTGGAGTTGCGTGTTCTCCCCATGCATGCGTGGGGTTTCTCCGGGTACTCCGGTTTCCCCCACAGATCACAACATGCCCTATAGGTTAAAAAAAATTGTAAGTCGCTTTGGGTAAAAGCGTCTGCTAAGCACATAAACGTAAACATCCACACATTCAAACACGAATTCACACCCTGGTGGGGATGAGCTACAATCTAGCCACAGCTGCCTTGGGCCGCGCTGACAGAGGTGAGGCCTGCTGAACACCGATGCCTCCAGTCCCTCCAACCACC